ATTATAAATCACACACAATGAGTGTGTCAGAAAATAAAGCTGTATGCGCACACACACACACACACACAGACAGACAGACAGACACACACACACACACACACGTGCACAAACACAACAGTGAAAACCCGTGGATTATCCCCACAATTCCCAAAAACAAACCTGTGTGTCAGCAGATCATCCTTCATCCTCCCACACACACACACACACACACACACACACACACACACACACACACACATTTGTCTTCATGTAAACGCTGCACAAACACACACAATTCCTCTGATTTCGTGGTGATCAACATCTAACGCCGCAGCTCACGCCACAGAGGACCAATCAGCTCTGAGGTCAGAGGTCACGCAGACCAAACCCTGCACTTACACACTTCCACACACACACACACACACACACACACACACACACACACACACACACACACACAAGACCCATTAACACACTACATACACACTCCAGATCTTCACTCACACACACTCATATAAAACACACACTGCAGCTCCCGCTCCAACAGCATCCCGTCCTAAAGTGCTGCCGTTTGTGTGTGTGTGTTTGTGTGTGTGTGTGTGTGTGTTTCTGCTGTTGTCACACAGGAAGTGGCGACTCCTGCAGGAAATCCTGCCTCGTCCCGCAGGGAAACACAAACAGAGCAGGAGTGCTTCACCCTCGCCTCGACATCAGACTACACACACACACACACACACACACGCGCACACACACACACATCACAGCAGCCCGTGATGAGTCTCACATATCTACACTAGAAACAACACACACACACACACACACACACACAGATCAGCAAAGGGTGTGTGTGTGTGTTTGTGTGTGTGTGTGTGTGTTTGTGTGTGTGTGTTTGTGTGTGTGTGTGTGTGTGTATGTGTCTCACAGGCTGAGTGGCTCCGCCTCCCCTCGGGCATCAGCTGTGCGGTGTGTGTGTTCATCCAGCTGTTGGTCTCGGTGTCGAAGATCTTGATCTTATTGCAGTAGATCTCGTTGTTGGAGTGGAAGGGCCCGAAGCGGTCTGCGCGGCCCCCGAACACAAACATCTTAGTGCCGATGATGGTGGCCGAGTGGAAGTCTCTCCATCGCGCCGGTGTCCCCTGAACACACACACACACACAGTGGAGTCAGCACAGAACACAAACACACACACTCACTCACACAGCAGTGCAGATATGCTGTTCTCCAGCACACACACTGACCAGCGGCGCCATCTAGTGGCAGCAGAGCACAGACACACTGCTGACCCTGAGGGTGAGCTCACGCTGGCTCCAGCGGCCCTGAACTGTGCTGAAGTGCACTAGTGCCCCTCGGCCTGCGCTCACACTGCACCTGTATGGTCTGCACCGGAGCGTGTGTGTCAGTGCTGATGCTCAGTGTTCAGTAGAGCGGCTCTGGCTCAGCTCAGTGGACTCTGCTCTGTGGGTTCAGTCCTCCGGGCTGCAGTGACACAGGCAGATCTCCTGAACAGATCCAGCACTGCTGACGCTCATGATGCTGATGAAGTTCTGCTGCGGCGGCGGCGGGTATGAGGAGTGTGCTGAAGCTGCAGTGAGGGCTTTGAGTCTTTAATAAACTCTGACAGCTCGACTTCATTCAACAGTGAGAATGATCAATAAACCCAGATCACACAGTGCCTTAAAGTGACGGCGCATCTTCAGTTTCGGGTCAGGTGTGCTTTACACTCACACCACAGTACCGCACCAAAGCCCGACCCAACCACACTCTGGCACACCTCTGTGCCCGAAACCAACTGGGAAATGCAGTTCAGATAGCACAGTGTGAGCCCTGAATCTCTTATGCGCACACACACACAGACACACACACACACACAAACACACACACACACACACACACAAACAAACACTCATTCACTCACCCGGGCGTTCACCAGTGACCAGCACATGTTGGAGGTGTCCAGCTTGTGGATCTCATTGGAGAAGCAGTCGGCCTGAAAACACACACACACACACACACACACACACACACACACACACACACACACACACACACACACACACATTTACAAATTAATACAATATTAGTCTGGTATAAACATGCACACTTTCCATACTTTTAAATATATATATAAACAGCACTGTTTAGTATAGTACTGCTGTATAGAGTCTGTTACTTCACAGATATTATAGAGAACATCACACAAAGACAACACTATTCTAATATCACATATAAACCATATTAATATAATGATGAGGTGATTTATTAAGAAATTAAATTTAATATTTATTACATATTAGGAAATGAAAAATCCTACTTTAATAATAATATTAATAATATAGATGATGATGATGAAGATGATGATGATGATGAGGATGATGATGAGGATGAGGATTAAGTAGGACATTGTTTAAGGCTCACAGCACTCAGGTCTCTGGTTTGAGTCTCAGCTGGGTCAGTTGGTGTTTCTGTGTGGAGTTTGCATGTTCTCCCCGTGGTGGTGTGGGTTTCCTCCGGGTGCTCCGGTTTCCCCCACAGTCCAAACACATGCGCAATAGGGGAACTGATCAACTACACTGGCCGTAGTGTATGAGTGTGAATGAGTATGTGGATGTTTCCCAGTGATGGGTTGCAGCTGGAAGAGCATCCGCTTGTTTTCACAAGCTTTGGAGACGTAGCATAAATGCCGCGAGTAAATAACAGGTCACCTACAGCGTTCATCATGAGCCACGGCTGTGTTCAGAATGACATCAGTGTTTTCAAAGTGCACTGAGAAGGGAGCACATCTGTAAACTGAACTGTAGAATACTCAGAGCAAATGACAGCTGACAGAGATGAGCGTACTGCTTTATTTGTTCATTCCAGGTGTACATGTCAGAATGTTCTGAATGAATAGGGCATAGGGAGGATAAGTGGGAATAGAACACAGCCATGGACTCTGTTTCTAACTACAGCTCCAGAGGAGAAGCTGCCAGTGTACAGGTTTGTGACACAGTATGTTTAACGACAGAACTTGCCACCTTAGCTGGCTAATGAGGGTTTTGGGAAACACACCCCTGACTGATCTGTGTGTGTGTGTGTGTGTGTGTGTAATGTAGTGTGCATGTGTGTGCACAAATGATTGTATGTGTTTATGTGTGTGTACATATGTGTGTGTGTGTGTGTGTGTGTGTGTGTACATATGTGTGTGTGTGTGTGTGTGTACATATGTGTGTGTGTGTGTGTGTGTGTGTGTGTACATATGTGTGTGTGTGTGTGTGTGTACATATGTGTGTGTGTGTGTGTGTGTCACACACACCAGCTGCTCGTATCCTCCAAAGATGTACATGGCTTTTCCCAGAACACAGGCTGAGTGTCCGTCTCGCGCTCCTGGAACTGTGCCAGAGATCTTGGGTGTGAACCATCGGTGCTGGTCTGAGACAGAACACACACACACACACACACACACACACACACACACTTAGACTGAAGGATCACTCCACAATAATCCAACAACGCTTCTGAACACAGTGAGCCCTTAAACACACTCAGCCAATCAGCAGTAAAGGGCGTGTCTACTAACTCCAGCTAAGAGACCAAAGGGGTGTGGCCTGGGTGTGTGTGTGTCACCAATACTGTGTACTAATGTTGAAGGCGTACAGCACTTTGCAGGCATGTGTGTGTGTGTGTGTGTGTACTCACTGATGTCGAAGACGTACAGCACGTTGCAGGTGTGTGTGTGTGTGTGTGTGTACTCACTGATGTCGAAGGCGTACAGCACGTTGCAGGTGTGTGTGTGTGTGTGTGTGTACTCACTGATGTCGAAGGCGTACAGCACGTTGCAGGCATGTGTGTGTGTGTGTGTGTGTGTGTGTATGTGTGTGTGTGTGTGTGTGTGTGTGTACTCACTGATGTCGAAGGTGTACAGCACGTTGCAGGTGTGTGTGTGTGTGTGTGTGTGTACTCACTGTTGTCGAAGGCGTACAGCACGTTGCAGGTGTGTGTGTGTGTGTGTGTGTGTGTGTACTCACTGTTGTCGAAGGCGTACAGCACGTTGCAGGTGTGTGTGTGTGTGTACTCACTGATGTCGAAGGCGTACAGCACGTTGCAGGCCCCCTCGGTGTCGTTGCGTCCGCCCCAGATCAGTATGGTGTCGTCTGCCAGCACTGCAGTGTGTCCATAGCGCATGTAGGGCACTTCACGAGCATGCTCCCTACCTCCAGTGCGCACTGGCGGCAGCTTTGTCCAGCGCAGAGACACTAACACAAACACACACACACACAGGTGAGCATCACTGTCTGACACACACACACACGCACGCACTTGCACACGCACGCACATGCACACGCGCACGCACACACACACACACACACACACACACACTCACACACACACACACACACACACACACACACACACACACATCCCGGATCTGTGTATTCATCATTGGGCTGCTGCAGTGAGGCGGCCGGTGTGTTTCAGCTGATTTGCATGCGTGTTGGGTGATTTGCATATGCAGATGAGCTCAGGGTTCAGGTCTGCACATGCGGCTGGTGGAGCGACAGCACTGCAGTCTAACACTACACTGTTTACAGGATTAAGCTGATCTGAGAACAGAGCCAGCTGCCAGAAACACACACACACACACACACACACACACACACACAAGAACACACACACCGCTTTACTGTGATCATGAAGAGATGGGAATGCTCAAATAGCGCCACCCTGTGGACAACATCTGTGTGTTTTACACTCAGACTGAGCTCCAACATACAGTGTGTGTGTGTGTGTGTGTGTGTGTGTGTGTGAGTGTGTGTGTTATTCACAGCAGAGTGTGTGAAGTATGTTCAGTCTGACAGCAGGTATAGCCGCTGTTCTGTCCATTCCTCCTGCTCATCAGACTGTGCTGGCGGTGTGAATGTGGAGCAGTGTGATGTGCAGCTCAGTGTCGCTCTAACCCACAGAACCCCTGACCCAGTGATGAACACGAGGACAGCAGCAGTGTAAGCGTCTGTAACCGTGTCGGTGTTTGTCTGATCAGAGCTCGCGCACCGGTGTTGAAGACGTGCACGTCGATCTGCCGCAGGGTCTCGTAGTCCTCCCCGGAGCAGTATCCCCCAAACGAGTACACCTTGTGTCCCACTGACACTGCAGCGTGATTGACCCGCCGCGGGCCGCCCTCCAGGTGAACCGACCAGCGTAACATCCCACGCTCCGCCCGCAGCGCCCGGCTGACGATCACTGCCGCATCACTGCACACACACACACAGAGAGACACACAGAGATATAGACAGACAGACACATGAACAGATGCATGAATATATCATATAAAACATTTGTTTATTTCATGTGTATATTATATATATTGAGCAGTGGTGTAGAGTACTGATGGATCATACTCTCACTGGCCTAACAGCGCAGTGCAGTAGAGTAACAGTGTCTGCTGGAGACATTACTCACAGTACGAGTAAATGCAGACCTTTCAAGAGTGCTGAGAGCTGTGAGTATTACGCTGTATGAAGCTGATGTGTTTACATCTGATATGAGGATGTGTGTGTGTGTGTGTGTGTGTGTGTGTGTGTGTAAACGTAATATTCTGTAGTGCATTAGTGATTGTCCAGCAGGCACACAGCGCCATCACACGCTATTATTAGGTCAGATCTAGTACGTGATGTCAGGTGACCAAAATTCAAGAGCAGCCAGCGTCTCAGGACGTTATTTTGATGTCCAGTAATGACGTTGATATTTGGTTGATTTCAGGTTGTGTTGGAAAGTGACCAGAATCCAACATGGAGCCACGTCTTAAATCAGGGGTCACCAACCTTTCTGACACGGAGAGCTGCTCCTTGAGTACTGATTAATGTGTAGGGCCAGCAGTTTGATGCACACTTCTGGAATAACTAACATGCTGAATTTACCTGTAATTATATCTTACTGTTAATAACTAATGATGTTCATCCATGTGAAGACACTGATCGTGTTAATGACTTCCCACAAGAGCTGTCAACAATGATTAACACGGTAGGAGACAGACACATATCAACATGCAGCACTTCTCTACATCTTCTGTGTATTTACATCTTCAAGTGATCACGATATTTTCACTAGCCGCTAACAATTCCAACACATCATGCACTACAATGCCCTGTGTACAGATGATGAACTTCAGCTTTCAGATTGGGCTGAAATGATCCTCCAGTGTACAGCTCAGCCGGCGCTCCTCTCACCTCTGTAGCTGCGCTGAGTTGGGCATGGGGGAGAGCGGAGGTCACATCTGTTCTCATCTTTAAGCACAGGCTGGCTTTCTGTCTGAAATGACTGGTTTTGTGTCGCTCTGCACGAGCTTCAGTTGCTTTTCGGGGGTTTCACCGGTCTTGTGAAATAGACTGCTGTTTGCACAAACCTTCCAGACTTTTTCCACTTGTAGTGTGTTATAAAGTTTATTTAAGCTCTAACACAATAATGTTGTTATTTTTAGCAAATGACCTCTCCGTGTCGAGTTTTTACATCCGTTTCACCATCCTAGAGCATGTTTTAGCAGTGTTTGCATGAGGTTAAATGTACTGTACGCTGTGGACACTGAGTGCAGCTGCTGCAGCCTCTACAGCACACACAGCTCCATCATCAACACAGGACTTCTGCTTGCTCAGCTTATATCTGTCTGAACTGTATTCTGATTCTTCATTGTTTGTGAATCTTCATTTATTTTAATAAACGTGTCTGGAACTAAAATGTAATGGAAATATTTGTGAAAACTGCATGTTATTTATTTACACAGTCATGATTATGATATGAATAGCAGCACTAGTAATAGCAGCATGGGAAAATATATTTAATCAAATAACCCAATGCATTGGCTTAAAATAACCCATAGTTGGGGAGGTGCTATAATGGTCATGTGATCCTCACGGGCTACGTGTTGGTGACCCCTGTCTTAAACCAGCGTCATACTGACGTCACATACTGACATTTACTGGGCAGGTATGGCCACCAAAATACAACAACTGATGAACAGCATAGTGGAAACATCCACACAACGTCAAGCTGGAACATCATCAGACGTTGATATTTGGTTGATTTTCGGTTGGAGGTTTTCTAATCCCCATAGACAGCAGTGAGTGCAGGATGAAGGACAGTAGTGGAGGAACCGTACTGATACTGCACTGAACATGTGCTTATGGTGAGTGAGGGTACACATGTATAAACCACTCAGGAGAGTCCAACTCCTGAGGAAAACTGCTCCATTACAGCCATCTGAGTGTTGCTGATGTGTTACTCTACACCCCTGCACTGACATATAATAAACTATACACCGATAAACATATTACAGCTGCATACTTTACTCTTGTAAATACAGGTGTGTGTGTGTGTGTGTGTGTGTGTGTGTGTGTGTGTGTGTGTGTGTGTGTGTTTATATAGCAGTAAACATGTCTACATCATGTAAATACACTCTTTTATCTGTTGTCTGTGTGTGATTAATGGTTGGACAGCTCTAATATTAATATCTGGAGATTACGGCAGCGTTCGCTCGGTCAGACCTGCAACAGCTTCAGTTCTGGAGTTTCCTAATATTTTATCTGAAGAAAGAAGAATATGAATATTGAGTGTATACTTCATTTCTTCAGTAATCCTCTATTTCACAGAGGAAGATGGACAGACGGAGAGAGGAGAAGCTGCTGTCATATTCACACACTCTCCTCTACAACATCATATACAGAACAGCACTCACTGCTGATCATACACAGAGAGATCACATCAGCAGATGATGACTGTCAGAGTCCAGCACTGTTCACACACACACACACACACACACACACACACACACACACACACACACACACCGACCCTCAACAGCTGATCAAACAGCGATTATAACCAGAACACACACCGCTGACCCGACAGACACACACAACAGGACACTCGGAGGAGTTCCGTGATCTCCGCTCACGGTAAACACCACGGTCCGCTGCCGAGACTCGGCATTAGCCGCTCCGGCTAACCGAGCTAATCAAGCTAAAGACCCCCGACAGCACACACATACACACCGATACACACACAGAAATACACACTCACACACACACAGCTGACCACACTGAACAGCTGACAATATAGAGCTGGACATGACGGAGGAGAAGATAACAGCGCTGGAGCAGATCTGTGCGCTTACCGTCAGTGCTGATGAGGAGAATACTGAGGAGGAGCGCGCTCTGGCGCCCCCTGCAGGTGGAGCGCGCACAAACGCACACACACACATACAGAGAAACACAAACACGCATATAATGTTATCTCAGCATCAGCACAGTATGTCGTTCCCTTGTGTGTGTGTGTGTGTGTGTGTGTGTGTGTGTGTGTTTATATCTATGGCTGTAGATCGTGTCGTTATAAAGGTGTTCAGCTGTCTCCTGTCGTTCAGCTGTTGTTATGACACGTGCACATGTGCGTGTGACGTCATCGCGCCGGATGTTGACATCGCGTCTGCAGGAAGAGCAGAAAGTAAACACCGCAGACGCTCGAGCTGAAATTAAAGAGAAAGAGTTTAACTCACAGAAACTGACCATCACACTGACTCTACCGGCAGTTTAACCGTGTAATCGCTCCTCCGACTGAGTGTGTGTGTGTGTGTGTGTGTGTGTGTGTGTGTGTGTGTGTGTGTGTGTGTGCCATTAAGCCACATCTTCCTGAACTCCAGCTGGCCATACCTTTCTGTTCAGGAAGGCACAAACACACTCGCTGGCCACTTTATTAGGTACACATCACTAGTACCGGGTCTGACCCCTTTTGCCTTCATTTCTGCCTTAATCCTTGGTGTTATAGACTCATCAAGCTACTGGAAATATTCCTTCTTTGTCGGAGCATTCTCTGTAAAGCCTAGAGATGGTTGTGCGGGAAAATCCCAGTAGATCAGCAGTTTCTGAAATACTGTGAGCAGCCCGTCTGGCAGAAACAACCATGCCACGTTCAAAGTCTCTTAAATCCCCTTTCTTCCCCAGTCTGATGCTCACTCTGACCTGCAGCAGATCCTCTTGACCATGTCTACATGCTGAAATGCAGTGAGCTGCTGCCCTGTGATTGGCTGATTAGACATTTGTGTCGCAGGTGGACAGGTGTGCGTAATGAAGTGGCCAGTGTGTGTGTATATATACATCCACATACTCACAAACACACTCAAATCTCTCTCACACACAGTCGCAGACACACACATACACAAAGCTAACTGAAACGCACTGAGTGTGTGTGGTCGTCAGCACATGTTGATGATGGGGTCCTCCTCCAGGGTTATGGCTGTGATTAGAGTATCTGTCAGATCAGCTGATAGTGTGTCTGTCATCAGTTCTGTGTCAATCATTAATATTCAGCTCAATATTACACTGATATCACTCTCTGATGAGCTGTGTGTCCAGGGCAGCAGCTGCAGTCACACACAGGTGTGTGTGTGTGTGTGTGTGTGTGTGTCTGTGTGCGTGCGTGCGTGTGTGTGTGCAGGGCCTGCTGGTCAGGACAGCAGTGTGAGCAGCAATGGGGATCCTGGAGTAAACTGTGTGTGAGAGAGAACAAGCTGGCAGACACCTCCTGAATACACACACAGATAATTCATGCTTTAGTTTGTTGGTCTGTTTATAGTGTGTGTGTGTGTGTGTGTGTGTGTGTGTGTGTGTGTGAGGGTTAATGAGTGTACAGTGCAGTGAATCATTTCTCCAGAATCACTCAGACTGTTTTCTTCAGCACATCAGAGCTTTATCATCTTTAATAACTTTAATAACTCATCCATCTGCGGCACTGTGAGGACAATACGTGTGTGAGAGTTAGAGTTTTCCACTGGTGTGTGTGTGTGTGTGTTAAGAGTTTTTCTGCTGTGTGTGTGTGTGTGTGTGTTAGAGTTTCTCTGCTGTGTGTGTGTGTGTTAGAGTTTCTCTGCTGTGTGTGTGAGGATTAGTCCTGTAAATCTCCAGCTCCAGCAGCGGCTCACACACTGAGCTCCTCACGTGCCTCCTCAGTACAGCAGCTCTGCTTCAGTGTGTGTGTGTGTGTGTGTTTATATGGATATTCATGATGTCTGAAACACTCTTCACCGTGTCTGGAGAATGAGGAGTGTTGTTGAGCAGGAGCAAGCTGTTACTGATCTCACACACACACACACACACTGACTGCGCTGCTGATCATCTGTGTCTTCATCTGTGTTTAACTTTATTCACAGTCATCAGTTCAGTTCATCACAGCACAACACCATCTACACCAGTTAAACACACACACACACACACACACACACACACACACACACACACACACACACACACACACACACACATTGAATAACAGCAACTTTCTATGTGTGATGTATCGACTCTAGCGCTGAAATACTAATCAGAATAAATATAACAGAGCGGCACAGTGGTGTCATAATCTAGCCTCACAGCAAGAAGGTCGCTGGTTTGAGTCTCGGCTGGGTCAGTTGGTGTCTCTGTGTGGAGTTTGCATGTTCTCCCCGTGTTGGTGTGGGTTTCCTCCGGGTGCTCCGGTTTCCCCCACAGTCCAAACACATGCGCTATAGGGGAACTGATCAACTACACTGGCCGTAGTGTATGAGTGTGTGTGTGAATGAGTGTGTATGGGTGTTTCCCAGTACTGGGTTGCAGCTGGAAGAGCATCCGCTGTTTAAAGCATATGCAGGAATAGTTGGTGGTTCATTCCACTGTGGTGACCCCTGATGAATAAGGGACTAAGCTGAAGAAAGATGAATGAGTGACTATAATTATAATAATAATAATATTAATAACAGTAATAATAAGATCAGCTTCCTCACTCATGTCATGACTGTACAGACTCTGTGCTGTGGCTTAGAGCTCATCATAAGCAGAAGAGAGGGAATCATCACAGCAGCTATGAACACTGTATAGTCACACAGCCTGAGGGAAAGCAGATCATAGATCAAATATATCCGAGCGCAGGGCAGTCCTGCAGTGGAGCGTAAGAGTTTCTGCTCAACACTACAGTAGATATTCAGAAGAATGCTGGACACCTGTAACCACTGACTTCTATAGTAGGGAAACCAAACACTATTGAAGGGTACAGTTTCAACCTTCTTCAAAATATCTTCTGTAGTGTTCAACATGATGAAGAAACTCATTTAGCTCTGGACGCAGCGCAGTGTGTGAGAGGAAGTGATGAGTGGAGTGTGTTTGTGTGTGAACGGCCCCTTTAACCCCAGACGCTCTACCGAGACTCATGAGCTCAGAGCTGCTGCTCAACCACACACACCGCATTCAGCACACACACCGGCAGAAACGCTGCTTCAGTTATTCTCTCACGTGTTCATACTGTGTGTGTGTGTGTGTGTGTCTGTGTGTGTGTGTGTGTGTGTGTGTCTGTGTGTCTGTGTGTGTGTATTTGTGTGTATGTATGCATGTGTGTGTGTGTGTGTGTACGTGCATATGCGTGTGTATGCATGTGTGCGTGCGTGCGTGCGTGCGTGTGTGTGCACCTGTGTGTGAGTGTGTCTGTGTTTGATTAACCACAGTTGACCGAAGCGCTTCATCTTACAGTGAGTGTCATTTAACCCCTGCTCACGTACAACAGTGGAGTAAACCTGAGCGGCCTGCAGCTAAACGAACCAGTCTGACCAGTGCACACACACACACACACACTCACACACTCACACACTGCCGAGGCTGAAGCTGTTGTTGTGATGACGCTGTTAGTCTGCAGCTTCAGATCCGCTTCTGTTTTATTCCCAGACCACAGAAACACAGAACTCATCCCTCCGCTCAGCTCAGCTCCGCTCCGCTCTCTCACCTCCTCTGATCAAACACAGTTTCATTTCCAGAGCTGGAGCTGACACACACACACACACACACACACACACACACACACACACACAACTGTAAAGAGTCATCTACACACAACTGCACAACTGTAGAGCAGTCAGAAACACACACAGCTGTAGATGACCGCAGGCTCCTCTCTCCGTCTGCAGGGACTGGAGCTTCTGCTTCAGCTCAGGTCTCAGTGTGAACACTTCACTTCAGCTCACAGCTCATGAACAGGACATTAGCGGACGCTGCAGTTAGCCAATAGATGCTGTGTTTAGTGTCGGGCACGCTCATGCACAATAACATCCTGAATAAACATTAATATGGGGATCATTTATATGTGGATACAACACCTCTCCAGTCCAGTTCTGAATCTGAGTCCTCCACACACACACACACACACATATACACACACACACACTTATTAATGATTCCTGTTGTCTTCCTCGTGATGAAGAGCAGGCAAAATCTGATCTGTATTGTGGGAAAGAAGAGCGTGTTCATCAGACGCTGGATTCAAACCGGGTTCATGATCGATGTTGAAACATGCTGCCCTGCGCTTTACGAGCTCCGCCACTCGGGCTGCTGTATGTCGTGCTTTACAGTTGTGTTGTCTCTGTCAGTCAAACGGTGATGGCGGGATCACTCAGCTGTGAGGTGCGCTATTTGCATTTAGCCTAATTAACCACTCCAAAATCAGTGTCCCTCACAGGGGCCCCAAGTGCGCACGGCCCCTAATGCCCATTGGTTAATCCGGCCCTGTTATATTGTCAAAGTTGTGTGGTAAATACTCTAACTCATGCGTTAATATTAATATAAGATGCTTCACCGTGTTATATTAGTACAGGAGCAGTAGATTAGCCAGAACTGAAGACAAAGCTGGAGCTAATCCAACAAATAACTGAAGATAACGCTGCAAATATCAGTAGATATGAACTCATGTGTTGGAGAGAAATATGAAATACCCAGAGCAAACATCAAGAGGAAGACGGCGCCAGTGCTTAACACACAGCACCATGGTGCTCACGGCGACCAGAGCTCGATTCCCAGCATGAGGTCCTTTGCCAACCCGTCCCGTCTCTCTGCTGCCAATATACTGTCCTGTCTGAAATCTCCACTGCCCTGCCCCAATCAAAGCTGGAGAAACTAAAAGTATTATTGAAACATCAGGAGGAACAGCAGATATAAACACTTCTGTTGACCTTTTGTCATTTGCATTTCTTTAAATGTTTCATGACTAAAATATTGTGATTTAAAAACTGAAATCTGTTTAATAAATCTGTAATCTTCAGATGCTCCGTCATATGACCATCACTGATGATGATGATGATGATGATGATGATGATGATCTGAGCGAGCTGTGCTCATTTATGCTGAACACGGTGTGTGTTTCATTTGTTTGTGTGTTTGTGACATCCACACCCACTCTCTCACACACACACACACACACACACACACACACACACAGCAGACTCTGGCTCCTCGGCGGCAGATATGCGCGCAGGTTTATGAGCAGATGAACTCTTATCTTATCCAGTTTAATATATGACTGTTTACAGCCGCAGTGACCCTGAGCTCGCACATCAACAGCCCGAAGATCAGTCAATAACCGACGGCCACCGGGCAGAGGTCAGAACCCGCGGAGACACCGGCGACACCGGCTGCTGTTTCTGCTGTCAACAGAGCAGTCCTGAGGGGCCAAACATCCATGCGCGGAAAACTGCAGACTCATGATCGCGAGGAGAACCACAGGTGATCTCTGAGACACACACACACACACACACACACTCCGTCACACGCACCGACACCGGCTCTCCTCAGACCGCGGCCGCGCGCGCAGCACCATGGGCCGCTACAGCGGGAAGACCTGCCGCCTCATCCTGATGCTCGTCATCACCGTCATCTTCTTCGTGGCGGAGATCGTGGCGGGCTACATGGGCAACTCGGTGGCGCTGGTGTCGGACTCCTTCAACATGCTGTCGGACATCCTGTCGCTGTGCGTCGGGCTGACGGCGGCGCGGGTGTCGCGGCGCGCGGGCTCCGGGCGCTTCTCCTTCGGGCTGGGCCGGGCGGAGGTGGTGGGCGCGCTGGCCAACGCGGTGTTCCTGATCGCGCTCTGCTTCTCCATCAGCATGGAGTCCCTGAAGAGGCTCGCGATGCCGCAGGCGATAGACGACGCGCCGCTGGTGCTGATCGTGGGCTCGCTCGGGCTGGCGGTGAACCTGGTCGGGCTGGTGATCTTCCAGGACTGCGGCCGGCTGTGCGGGCGGCGGGGCAAGGAGAAGAAGCGGGAGGAGCACCGGGAGGACCGGGAGCAGGAGCTGGAGCAGGTGGAAACAGGTGCTGATCACACCACTGACCCGCCGCCACACCGGCAGCAGGGTTACACACACACACACACACACAGGCACACACACAGTAACCGGTTACCGTAAACTCGCTTCAGTACCCGCGCTGCGCTGCTGTGAGGACCGAGTGTGCGGGAAACACACTCCCTGCTCTGCACACAGAATTAAAGGGGCAGTTCACACACAGGTGAGCAGGTACTGACGCTCAGTGGTTTTCAGCCTTCGTGAATTTCGTTTTTCTGTTGAACACAAAAGAAGATACTTCAAAGAATGCTGGAAACCGGTAACCATTGACTTATACTGGAGAAACAAATGAAAGCCATGATTACAGGCTTCAGCATTCTTCAGGTTATCTCATTCTGTGTTCAACAGCAGAAAGAAACTCCTAGGAGTGGAAAGTCTGAGTAAATGACGGCTGAATCTTCAGTTTGGGGGGAACTGACCCTTTAACTACAGCTGAGAGGTGAACACTACAGCGCTGAACAGCTCACACTTATAATCAAGCTCAGCCTGCGTTAGTGCACATCTGTTGAAGAGAGATTCACTCATACTGACTCCCCTGAGCTTCTCTCTTCTGTTGAGCACAAACGAGAATATCTGGAGGAGAGCTGGAAACCGGTAACCATTGACTTCCATAGTAGAATGCTAAAGTCAGCCTACAGGTTTAACTTAAAGATGAGCTTCTGTGTTCAGCAGAAGAAGGAAACTTGAAGAGGTTTGAAACAAGCGAGTGAGTAAATGAGGCCGAGTGTTAGTGTAGGGTGAACCGACCCTTTAACTGAAGCTGAGGCACTGTGGTGAACTACAGCTCCAGTGTACAGAGGAGGACAGACCACAGCAACACTGTCACACACACACACACACACACACACACACACACACACACACACTGCTGCAGCTGAAGTGAACACAAGCCGTGTTTGGGTCACGAGTAATCAAGTGAAGAGTAGAGCTCTGTTCATGTGTAGCTGATGGGTATATTTCCAGAATAACTGCATTTCTAAACTGGAGCAGGTCTCCTCTGACAGACAGCGCATGCAGAGAGACGATTGTCCTGCTCACACACACACACACACTGAAGTGCTCTTTACTGGAGCTAATGAAGCTGCTGTTCGTTATTAAAATCTTCAAGCATGCTGTTTTCATAAATATGCAATGATAAGGGGCGTGTCTGAAGTTTGGAGAGGCATTTAAATAATCATTTCTTTTACTACCTACAACACTGAACACAGCTGACCGTCAACATGCACTAGTGTGGTGTACTGTACTATAATACACCCTGTAGAGGATCACTGCCGCACACTACAGTATCTGTAGACAATTACGATATTGTGTTGCCATAGCAACTGCAGAATCACCACAGCAGATCAGCTACCCATTAATCAGCAGGTACTCACCCTGAAGATGACCCACACCTGTCTGAAGATATTTCATCTGTTGAACACACACACACACACACACAGACGATGATGATGCTGATGCTATTGTAAAGATGTGGTGTTATGATTGTGAGCTCAGTGGTGTGTAGAGCCGCTGGTGTTCTGCGCTGAAGCGTCCGCTGGACAGAAGCTCTTCCACTTGTCCATTATCATCCACAGGCCTGCAGGAGGAGAAGACTGAGAAAGATGGAGCGCCGCTCAACATCAGGGGTCAGTCTGACAGTGTGTGTGTGTGTGTGTGTGTGTTGATCTGTGTCTGTCTGCTGATCTGTGTGTGTGTGTGTGTGTGTGTGTGTTGATCTGTGTCTGTCTGCTGATCTGTGTGAGTGTGTGTGTGTGTGTGTTGATCTGTGTCTGTCTGCTGACCATTGTGTGTGTGTGTGTGTGTG